CAAGCCCTAGGACTGGCTAAATAAATACATAAATAATATCAGGACATTTTTCTCAAGGACAGATGGAAATAGGAAGGGTTTGTATCTGGACTAGCTACTCCATTTAGGATTTCTTGTGGATAATAGCTAAAAGAGGAATTATCTCTCCTCCCAGGTATAGAATAGAAGTCTTAGATTTCTTTAGGATTGGATCCATTTAGATCTCATTCTTATTTTTAAGTAATGAATTTGCCCAAGGATACTGTTGTTGCCTAGCTGTTTTATGTTTGTGTCTGGCTTGTGCTACTATAATGAACATAACAAAAGGAGTAACATTTTGTGAGTAGAAATGTTGTTGGCTCACAACTCTGAAGTTCAGAAAGCACCAGATCAAGAAGACAGCAACTAGTGCTTATTGCACTTCCCTTGTGGAAGAGCAAGGAATTCATGAAAGAGAAAACAAGACAGTGAAAGGAAAACAAATTCTCCTTCCTTTTAACAGCATTATTCCATGCATGATGGTGAAGCATTATGAACTAAATATCTCTTAAATAGTTTACATCCCAAGTCTTGCTTTGAGAATCGCCTTCCCAGCTCATGAACTTTAGGGGTTGTATTCAAAGTCCAAGAGCACAAATCATTGCCTAACTTTGAACCAATTACCATAGCAAAGAAAAGCGTCCTTTAAGTGTCTGCCTAAGGCAATCAAGACCCACACAATGAAACTTAGTATGTTCCTATGACTCCTCCACAAAAAGAACTGTATTCATTTCAGCCTGCTCATGAACCAAAAGTTTAACATCTCTACCATACAAAACATGTCTGACTACAGTATTTGACTGCTCCTCTAACTTTATTTAAACACAATAAGGAGAAAATTTAATTTCCAGGATAGAAAATGCATCCAAAATGATGACTTTATTTCAAATAGCAAAGAAGAACAATGATATCTAGATACTTCTATATTTTACTAGCTCCATGAATCTTCATCTGTTGACATCAACTTAATTTTATCTGTACTTTCTGCACCACTAAGAAGTCCCCGGAGGCTGAGAGGAAATTTTAAGAGCTTCTGTGTAGTTATTGTTGCTAGGAAACATCATTGGTACCTAAGTGCTCAGGCTTTGAGATGCTATGTGATGTCACCAATTCATAAAGGAAAACCTTTGGTAAATAGGTTGTTGAGGTGTGAGTAAATTCATGTCCTCGCTCTGTGGAAAAATTTTCTTGAGTAACCTTTGAATAATAGAGTATTTTGAGGCCTCTTTCCTTTGCCATTATTGCTCCCATGAGAACTCAACTGTCTCCCTGAAATAGTATGAGCATTCTCTCCCCCCCCCTCCAAAATAATCATCTGTAATTATCTCAATGCCTTGAACACTATGCATAATAGGTTGTAGTTAAACAAAAGGCGAGTGACCTTGGAAATAAAGATCCAAACCACTAACTGCATGAACTATTAAATGCAATAGTCTCTTCTCATCTGTAGGGGATGTGTTCCAAGACACAAGCGGATGTCTTCCACCAAAGATAGTACCACGTCTTAGGCTTTACATAGAATAAAGCTTAATTTATAAATTAGGCACAGTAAGAGGTTAGCAACCGTAACTAATAACAAAACACAATTATGACAGATTTAATTTTTTAACTATGTAAATGTGGTCTTTTTTCATTTCCTTTCGAAACAGTGTCATAAGCACAAAGCATTGCAATAGCTCAACAGTTAGTGAGGAACTAGCTTGCCTCCTAAGTGACTGATGGGTGGCTAGCAAGTACAGCAGAACACATAGGCTGGACAAATGGCTGCATGCTCTCCTCAGTGGGATAAGGCAAATAAATGTGGGCATGCAATTTAAGACTTACGAAAAAACAAAGGAGGTAACAATGCTCAATAAGAAATGTACTCATTACCTTACTCATGTAACTGTAACCCCTCTGTACAGTATTTTTACAATAAAAAAATATTAAAAAGACTTATGAATTGTTTAACTTGTTTCAGTGATTTCTTAGTTAATATTTTCAGACCTCAGTTCACTGGGTAGCAGACACTGCATCTAGGGATACTCTGTAAGGTAGAAGGGCTGAGGTACTTTTAAAATATGCATTGATTCATTGTTGTATTCCAGCTTGTTCATTGCATGCAGTATTGAAGTGTTCAGCTGATTGGGCTTACCCACTTACTTCCATCTTTCTTCTACCTCCAAAACCCAGGCCTTCAGTGACTTGCTTAACCCTAACCAGTGCTTACATATGTCCCCCTAAATTGATACAATGAAACATGAGCTACAGGTTATAATCCATCACCTAGTTAACTTAGCTAGCTTAAATTTTACAAGAAGGTTTTTCTATTCTTCAACATGCAGATCATTCATCCATCAGTCATCTACCTCTACCTACCTTTTGGCTTGTACGTTCCTATTAGGTGCTGTAAGCAATGTTAATTCATCTCCCAAAGATAAGAACCTTTCCCCTCAAACTCATAAATCCTGAATATAGTAATTAGTCTTGTGTGAATGTGCTAAGTCCATAGGTTCTTATAGCTTCTCATATAACAGCGATAATATCTAACAATAAATACCTGCTAGTTCTGTGACTACACTTGGGTCATTATGGTATGGATTTTTAGACAAGGAAGAGATGGAAAGTTGTCAGACCTAGAAGGAGGTGGTTTAAAGAGAAATAAAACATACTCAAATCGCATTACAACAAAAGTTAAACTTTACATAGTAAATGTAAAATGATTGGGGTTTCATAACTTTAGAGAAAATAATTCTAAAATCTTTTTGAAGAGGAATTAGAACTACTAGAAACAATAAAGTGGAGATATCTTTGTTTCAGAGAGAGGGAAAAGAAGAGATGGAAGGAAAAAGGAGAGAGGGGAAAAGGAGGGAGGGAAAAGAGGGAGATAAGGAAGAAACAGTTTAAATTTTCTTTTATTCTTACAGTGACACATTCGGGGAGACTTTTTGTCAGTTGGTATTCCATTGCAAAATTTCAAACATTTTTTTTAATCTTCTGAAAAGATGTTACCACTATATAATCAAAAGTAGGTCAAAATAATGTCTACTACAAAGAGCTCATAAGGTTACCTTTAAAACCTGGAAGCAGCAGTATTCTAGTGGCAAAAAAAAAAGATTTGCTACTTTTTTGAGTTAAATATAAAAAGAAAATGAAAAGGTCTTCTTGTCTCTGGTAAAAAGAAAAAAACTGGATCTTGAATCTGTCTTAGATTATTTTTAGCTTTTTTTTAAAATATAACCCTTCTTGTTGTACAGTCTCTCTTTTGCATGACCCTAACCCAGCAAGGCCATGGCAAGCAAGGAGAGAGTAGAAAAACAGAGTAGCTTATGACAGGAGGCCTTCCGTGCTGAAAACAGTACAGATCCTTCTGTTCTGCAATATTCTACATGTTTTCCTTGAATTAACTCTATCTCACCAGTTATGATAGTGTACACCTATCATTCAAGCTACTTAGGAGGCAAAGGCAGGCCTCTGCCTGGTTGAAAGCCAGCACAGGCAAAGTTAAGAAGACCCTATTTCAAAAGTAACCCAAAAACAAAAGAACAGGATTGAAACTCAGGTGTAGAATACCTGCTTATCATTTTCCCAAAGTTCTGGGCTCAATTCCTAGTACCATGAAAAAATAAATAGATGATAGATAGATAATAGATAGATAGATAGGTAGATAGATAGATCATGAGAACATTACCAATAATTTACTAGTGCCCAAAGCTTTAACTAATATGATAGCTATAATATTATTAGCTAAATCAAAGACTAAGAATAGAAGCTTGATTAATTTTCTTTCTTTTTTTTTTTTTTTTTGTCGGTCGTGGGGCTTGAACTCTGGGCCTGGGCGCTGTCCCTCAGCTCTTCAGCTCAAGGCAAGCGCTCTACCACTTGAGCTACAGCGCCACTTCCAGTTTTCTGGTGGTTTATTGGAGATAGGAGTCTCACGGTCTCTCCTGCCCGGGCTGGCTTTGAACCACCATCCTCAGATCTCAGCCTCCTGAGTAGCTAGGATTACAGGCGTGAGCCACCAGCGCCCGGCTTTGATTAATTTTCTTAAAGAAATGTGCATTTATTTTTAAAAATAGTTTTCTCATTTAACTGATTTGTACAAATTCAGTTTCTCAGTATACTCCATACAAGTATTCCTTCTGTTCTCTTTTAACAAATAAGGGCTTAATTATTATTACTTGGCTTTTTTCTTTTCTTTGCTTTGCTTTTTTTGTGCCAGTCCTGGAGTTTTGAACTCAGGGCCTGCCTACTGTCACTGAGCTCTTCTCATTTTTTATTATTAAACACACAGTTAAAATCTATTATCAGACCCTTGGAGTCTAACAACTCTCACTGCAAAAGAATGCCCATTAGCAGATACAAAGAAAATAAATATGACACTATGATGTCAGATGTCACTAAATGATCCAGAGTTCATATCTGTCAATCCCAGATGCATTGTGGTCTTAATGCACCCACTACCAACCCATTAGAAATAGCAATCCATACGGCACCTAATATATAACAATGCCACCTTTTGGATAGCAGCTAAGCAGGTAGCAATGCTACTCCCTATTTACTAGGATTCTCCCCTGATTCCCACACTGTCTTCAGAAAGAATTTCTAGCCAGGCTTACTGGCTTACACCTGTAAGTGTAGTTACTTGGGAAGATGAGGTGAGATAAAATTGCTATTTGAGGCCAGTCAAAGCCAAAAAATAAATAAGGAAAAAAGAAATAGACCTACGTTAACCACTAGCTGGGTATTGGCACATGCTTGTCATCTCAGCTATAGCAGGAAGTATAATATAGGAGAAGCGCAATCCAGGCAGGCCTAGGCATAAGTGTATGGCTGTATCAGAATAATAACTAAAGCAAAAAGGGCTTAGGGTGCGGCTCCATGATAGAGCACCTGTCTAGCAAGTGCAAGGCTTTGGGTTCAAACTCCAATACTGCCAAGAAAATAATTATGGGAAGAATTTCTAGATGCTTAGGTCGTGAAGCTGTGTTTCTTTACTTCAGATGGCTACACCACAGATGACATCGAGTTTTACTGGAATGGAGGAGAGGGAGCGGTAACTGGAGTTAATAAAATCGAACTTCCTCAGTTTTCAATTGTTGATTACAAGATGGTGTCCAAGAAGGTAGAGTTTACAACAGGTGAGGATGTTTCTTCCAAAACAAACAAGGAGGGTGGTGAAGGAAAGATGATGGGTTGTGATCAAATGATGATGGAATTTTTTAATTTTTCTTTTTCTTTCCTTTTTCTAAAAAAAAAAAATTTAGGAGCCTATCCACGGCTGTCACTGAGTTTTCGTCTAAAGAGAAACATTGGTTACTTCATTCTACAAACCTACATGCCTTCTACCCTGATTACAATTCTGTCCTGGGTTTCTTTTTGGATCAACTATGATGCATCTGCAGCCAGAGTTGCACTAGGTAATGCATGTCTAGTACACCAGAGTGAGGAAAGTTTTCTACCTTCAAATATGCCAGCAGTAGCAATCATGGGCAAGAAGTCTCTTAGAGCAAGCCAACAGATTACGTTATAGATGAATGCTTAAGAATAAAATAGCTAATTATAAGCATAAAGATGTTTATGATAAATGTATTACACTGTAACATTTCAACACTTAGAAAAGATAACATTTGAGCTGGGAATGTGGTTTAGTGGTAGAGTGCTTGCCTAGCATGCAAGATGCTCTGGGTTCAATTACTCAGTACCACAAAAACAGAAAAGGCCAGAAGTGGCTCTGTGGCTCAAGTGGTAGAGCGCTATCCTTGAGCAAAAGCTCAGGGATAGTGCCTGGACCCTGAGTTCAAGCTCCAGGACTGGCCAAAAAAGAAAAAGAAAAGGTAATATTTATGGGATATATGTTTTCCATTATGTAATTACTTATAAGATATATTCTGAAATTTTTATTATGCTAATTTTGACAAAATTTGAGATGACTTATTCTTTATTTCCTCCTATATTTTTACAGTGGTAAATACTTAGAATTCATTATATTCAATAGAAAAAAACTGATTTAGAGAAATCTAAACAAATCTAGCGGCTATGAACAAGCTATATGACTTGGGAAATATTTTCCTTTGAATATTAACTAAAGTTAAAAATATCAAACTGGGTCTCCTTTAACTGGAGTTCATTATATTCAGCAAGGTGCAGACAATTCATCAGCTATATTAATGATCTGGGATCCAGATAAAATGAAAAATGCTTTCCTGTTTAGTGGAACAAAATTCAGAATTAATCTTGCCACGGTTGAGTAATTGCTGAAAGCTGCAAGGCTATATTTGAAACTCTAAATAATTCCTGGGAAAGTTAGAATATATAAGGTGTGTCTGATGAATCTAGGCATCCAGAAGTCTGCCTCATCATTTGATTTACAGACTCCAATGATCACTATCTGGAACTTATTCGTATACACACATTGTGCATGTGTGCACACACACACGCACACACACACACACACAGAGCATTGTTCCTAAGAAAACATATTGCATTCTCTTCTCTTTTGAGACTATTACACTGGATCAAATGATCAGCATATCTTTTCACACCTAGACTGATTAAGGTCTTCTCTGTAGCTTAATTGTGGTGGTTGAGTATACAAGACTCTCAAAGCCAAAGGTTTACCGTCTCTTCTCAGCCTTTGAATATTCTAAGGCAGAAGAAAGCAAGTAAGTAGTTACCACATCATACATATGTATCTGCACATATTACTTAAGTGGGAATATAACCATGTGTATATATTACGGTTAGAGGAAAGAAAGAATCACTGGATGATATCTGAGTCAAAGAAGAGAATACTAACAAGCAAATTTGTGAATTGTGATTCACTTTGCACGACTATCCTCAAGGCAAATAATATTTGGATTAAAGAGACTAGCAATATCAACACATAATGATGCCTAACATAATCTTGAGTGTAACAAATGTAGGTTAAAAGATATTAATTTACTTGTACCTTTTGCTCAAAAGTTTAAACCATTGTGGAGGGAGGAGTGAGTGAGGTAGGGGAGGGAAGGGATAGTGGGAGAACAACAAGGGAAGGGGTAACAATGCTCAACAAGAAATGCACATTGCCTTTCCCATGTCACTGTAACCCCTCTGTACAGCATCTTCACAAGAAAACAAAATTTTCTAAAAAGCTTAACAAATTACACTTAGAGGTATATACCACCAAGCATTGCCAGAAATAGTATCACAGCTGCCATTTTGTAAAACTATTGTATTTCATGATGGTATTCATCTTTTGGCTATAAATTAGAGGAAAATCTTTTAGTGTGCACACAAATTACTCACCAACTTAGAAAAAAATCGAGTCGCGGGCTGGGAAGGTGGCTCAGTGGTAGAGCGCTTGCCTTGCATGCATGAGGCCCTGGGTTCGATTCCTCAGCACCACATAAGCAAAAAGAAAAAAGCCGGAAGTGGCGCTGTGGCTCAAGTGGTAGAGCGCTAGCCTTGAGCTGAAGAGCTGAGGGACAGTGCCCAGGCCCAGAGTTCAGGCCCCATGACCGGACCCCCCCCAAAAAAAAAAAAAAAAGAAAAAAATCGAGTCGCATTTTTGGCAGTAACACCAAGAAAATATTACCTAGCCAAATACCAGTCTATGCTATAGAAAACAATGTTCATTTGGACATAATGTATTATATTAATTATGCAAAAGAATGACATCTGATTTATGGATTTTTCACTAGTCAAAAAAAATTAAACCCAAGGTGAAAAAGCAGACACACAATTAGTTAAGTTGTAAATCAATAATTTATTTCTGTTGAGTATCTCTAACTAGATTGTACAAAGATGCAGTTTAAACTTTTCTTCTAAGAAATAATAAGACTGCTCCTACTGGTATTTCATGTCAATCTTATTTGAATAAATTACTTAATATTTGAGTCCATTACTTAACTTTTGTGAGGTAGTCCCCAAATTTCTAATAAATCTATTTTTCAAAATGTTGCAGTGACTTTAGGAAATCTATGCATCTAGAATAATCTAGTGACCTCTTTTACTTTGATGCCTTCCATCTCTTTTGCCTGCTTTCCTTTGTCCTTACTATCCATTTCACCCTTCCAGTCTTTATTTTTAAGAACTTACATCAAATTTCAGGTATTGCCTTCTCTGCTTATTTTAACCAAGTATTCCCTTGATGTAGGCCCTTTAGCTGGGTGACCTATGGCAAAATAACTAATCTCAGAAGTTCCTGTTTGCTCAGTTACAAAATAAGAGGGAAATATATTTCGCCTATCATAGTCACTGGGCGGTGCTGACAGCCATAGAGAATAATGCAAACCTATAGGCATTTATAACTGTAAAACACTACATGAGGGTGTGATATTGATATCACAGCACAAGCAATCTATGCAAGATTCCACATTCTTTTCTTACTTCTTAATTTTTCCTAATTATTATTTCATCATTACCACCAACAACACAAATTATTCATGAAGCAGCCTCACAGACACCATACTATTAACAATTATTAACAACTATTAACAAAGTCATACTTAACTGTTTAAGAGGTCTAAGGTCGAGTTCTGAATAAAGCTTTTCCTTACAGTAGGAAACTAGGCTCTATGGTCAAGAAAGAAGAGATGGCCAAGCCCTAGTTGCTCATGCAAGTAATCTGAGTTGCTCAGGAGGCTGAGATCTGAGAAACAAGGTAGCCCAGGCCAAGAAGTCTATGAGACTCTAATCTCCAATTTACCAGCATTAACCCAGATGCGGAGATATGGCTCAAGTGGTAGAGTGCCAGCCTTGAGTGAAAAAGCCAAGTGAGAGCTTAAAGCCCTGAGTTCAAGCCCCAGTACCAGCATGAAAAAGAGAGGAGAGGGTTAATATTTTAAAAGCCAAAGCAACAAGATTATATTGTATCTAGAATATATACATCCATTATTTCATAAAAATCACAACCTTTCCTATATATCTCTCCTTTGGAGGATATCATACAACAAATAATATACTATTTTTTGCCAGTCCTGGGCTTGAACTCAGAGCCTCAGCACTGTCCCTGAGCTTCTTTTATTCCAGGCTAGCACTCTACCACGAGCCACAACACCACTTCCGGCTTTTTCTGTTTATCCGGTACTGAGAAATCGAACCCAGAGCTTCATGGAGGCTAGGCAAGCACTCTACCACTAAGCCACCTTCCCAGCCTACATTTTTCTTAATGCTGAACTTGAACTTGCGATCTGGGTGAGCGTTGCCTTGTAGATGAAGTAGACCTCCTGAAACTGGTCCTCAGCTAGGAAAGTGGCAAAGGCTGCGGTGGGAATTAGTATCTCAAGAACAGACCTAGGAGAGGCAGGACTGAGATGCTGAGAGAAGGAAAAGGAAAGATATGGCACATAACAGAATAAGGGACACTGGACAATAGCATTCTAATCTGAACTTTCATCTATTCTGTTTCCTCCGTGCATGTTTTAATGTTGTCAACCCTCCATGAGCTACACCTTCTATTTTGTGCTTTATTGGTGGGCCATGGATAGTGCTTACCGGTGTGTGTTTTAAACTGGATGCCCTTTTGTCCAACAGTTTATCATGCTCCTGCTGTCGTCCTATGGCACTACTAGGGGAGAGGCATTTGTCCCCCCAACTTCACTTTGTCTTTCTGTTCACAGGAATCACCACAGTGCTGACAATGACAACCATCAGTACCCACCTCAGGGAGACCCTGCCAAAGATCCCTTACGTCAAAGCAATCGATATTTACCTGATGGGTTGCTTTGTGTTTGTGTTCTTGGCTCTGTTGGAATATGCCTTTGTCAATTATATATTCTTTGGAAAAGGCCCTCAGAAAAAGGGAGCTGGCAAGCAAGACCAGAGTGCGAATGAGAAGAACAAACTGGAGATGAATAAAGTCCAGGTAAGGTATTAAATATGCTTAATACTATTTTTCCTAAACTTATCTCACAGTAGAAAAAATAATGCTTATGAAATAGTCGTTTATCATTATTTTTATTTAAATATTTTTATTGAAAAAATACTGTACAGAGGGGTTACAGTTACAGGTAATGAGTACATTTCCTAGAGAGCATTGATACCTCCTCCTTTGTTTTTCCCCTACTATCCCTTCCCCCCCTCACTTCCCCAACTCCTCCCTCCCCACCCCAAATTGTAAAGTTCCTTTTCAACATAGTGTCTTGTACATCTCATTGTTACAATGGGTCAACCTGTATCCTTGTTTCAGTATTTTTTTATTTTCCTTCCCCTCAAATTAGAAAAAAAAAAAAAATATATATATATATATAAGATGCAGGGCACTGGAATCAAATATAGTGATAACAGGGATTATACACATGGGGGAAGAACATACAAAAGAAACAAAACAAATCACATAGTACATTAAAAACAACAGTGACAAAAAAAAAACCTCTTGTGTATTTGTGTCCCGATCTTGGGATTCATTTCACTTAGCATCATTTTATATGGTCATGTGTACATAGTTTTTGAGCTTTTCTGCTTGTCTGGTAAGATTATCCTAGACATATATTAGACTTGGAAAAAAATTATATTAAGTGAAGTAAGCCAGACCCATGGCTTCCCTTATTCGTTTATCATTATTAAGACCCAACCAACTCTTTATTTTACATATCTGGGATATGTAAAAATGTAGAAAAATGACATTGAATCTTGAAAGCTCTATGTGAATACCAGTTTTCCTGATTTTGCTATTGTTCAATAGTTAAATAAAATACAAACAATAACAAAAACCACATGAAGAGTCCATGTAACTCTTCTGTTATATCTTCGTAACTTTCTGGGGACTAATAATTCTTTTGCAATAAAGTGGTTTTAAATAAACTCAATAGTAAGAAACTGTTACCATATATGAAACGTTTCAGAAAATAAGTAAAGCTACTTTAAAAACAATGGAAATCACAGGATTGAAAGTGTCATGAGCTAGATGCAGAGCACTGGGTATGAAATCGTTGTACCACTCCTATGGAGACACTTCACAGACGTTCTGTCTCTGCTTCTGTTTGCTCTCCCCATTCCTTGTGCTCACAGGATACTGCACCATTCTATGGTAGGGCTTGCATAGTATTAATCATTTGTTAGTTTGTGTAATTACTCTTTTTTAGCATCCATCTCTCATTAAAGAGTAGCTTCCCAAGAATCGGCCATAGAGTCTATCCTGTTTATTGCTCTTTCCTCAATGGCTAGAGTAAGGAAGTGACCCAAAGAGCATTTGTCAAACAAATGAATAAAAGTTTTTCCACTAAAGATTTTTAGAGAACACAGAAGGTATTGATTGTACTATCATTATGCTTTGTAAGTAATAATAAGTTATAAAAAGGGCTTATAATAATCTACTTCAACTTCTGCCTCAGGCTCTCTTACTCTTCCTAACTAGTGTGTGTGTGTGTGTGTGTGTGTGTGTGTGTGTGTGTGTGTGTGTGTGTGTGTACACTCGAGTGCTCGGTGGAAGATCATACTCAGGGCCTCATGCATGCTAGACAAGCACTAAACCACTTAGGTCTTTATATTGACTTTTAATGCTTTTTTAAGCATGCTTTATAGCAACCTCTAGTATTCTTTCTGAATCGGTGTCTCATCCTATTAAATACCATCTTCAAAAGGAACAGTATAGCTAAGATTATTTCAACTTCTTCCTATTTAGATGGAATAATAATCATGTTATCATCTCATGCAACTGATAATCATTCGGTAGATTCTTATATTTGGCAGGCCTTAACTTCCTTATCTTTCTAAAATCAGGGCTCAGAGAGACAATGTGTTGGTGACAAATTTCATCTGTTTGGCATATCACCTCCAGCAGTTAAATTAAGAATGCAAACCATGTGGTATTTTTCAAATGTCACCCTGTGGCTGAAATCTAAATTACAGAAGACATTAGATTTTTCTGCTTGGTGTAATGATTGGATGCTTCTCTTTTTTTTTCTGAAAGAAAAATGACATATGTTTTCTGGTCCCAGAGAATTCTTTTGAGAAATCTCCAGGATTTCCTTTGGAATCCTGGAGCTTTGAGTGGAATTGTTCATCATTACAAATTACTTTCTATAGCCTCTGCTAGGCAGGCAGGTCAGGGGATATCCATACTAAAGCTTCAGAAGTACAGCTTTGTATTGATTTATAGTTCCACCAGCTGCACGGAAGCATTTTTTATACGAGTACAGATGCTGAATCCAGACATTAAGAGAGTTGCGATCTCCTAGGTGATAAAGACTGTAGATTCATGAACCCCTCAGGCATCATTTGAAACTAGGGATGGTATTTAGAGTTTTGAAAGATAGATCTCACAGCACAACAAGACTTTAGATAAGCTGGGTTACTTTTAAACTAACCTAGAACTTTTTTTAGTTGTAGATAGTAGCAACAATGCCTGCCATCTGCGAGTGGATAAAATGGATGCATTGGTAGACTGTGCTCAGGGAATACTCGAAGTCACCCAGAGGCATGAAGGACTCTGGGGAATTGGGAGAGAATTCACACCAAATGCAGCCTGCAACACCAATGATCCAGAGAGAGAACTTTTCCTTTCAAAAATCCAGTCTCTCTACTGTGATTTGGGCTCTTCCCCCACATTCCTATTCTCTGTGGTTTGTCATCCAAATATCACCACAGACTAAAATCGTGGGGATCCAGACCAGGAAAGTCCCCAGTCCAGAATAAGTAACTTAAATTTGTATTGTCTGACAAGTTTCCTGGCTGGTTTTTCATGCGCACTAATCTCTGAGAACCATGGCTCTGAAGATCCCAAACACTGGAAGTACCCAGATGTCCTTTGCCGTTGGAACCCAACGGTAGCCCAGAGAAAGGACTCAAAAGTTTGGGTTTTGGAGTTTCTCACACTGCAGATAGATACTGAGTCTCTCCTAAGAGTACCTTATGCTCAACCCTGGAAAGACAATGAGGATATAGTGTGATGAGCAACAAGAAGGCACCTATTCTGGAGTATAGATAGATTCCAGCAGAGGTGACACAAATCTGTACACAGCTACTCAACAGAATAGGGGCGGGGGGGGGGGGGGGGGGGGGGGGGGGGGGGGGGCGGGCGGTGTATGATGATCACTGTGGAAAAAAACAGAAGCAGGGCACTAGTGGCTCACGCCTGTAATCCTAGCTACTCAGGAGGCTGAGATCTGAGGATAGCGGTTCAAAACCAGCCCTGGCAGGAAACTCCATGAGACTCTTATCCCCAATTAACCACCAAAAAACAGAAGTGGCACTGTGACTCAAGTGGTAGAGCGCTATCCTTGAGCTGAAGAGCTGAGGGACAGCACCCAGGCCCAGAGTTCAAGCCCCACGACTGACAAAAAAAAAAAAAAAAAGAGCCTGAGCCAGGCTTGGTGATTTATGCCTGTAATCCAGGACTCAGGAGGCTGAGAAAGCAAGGTCACAAATTTGAGGTGAGTCTGGGCCACATAGCAAGATTTCGTCTCAAATAACAACAATAGCAACAACAAGTATGATAATAAATATAAAATGGTCAATGGGGCTCGAGCAGAAAACTCAAGAGGCAGAATCATGGCACAAGAGGGCAGAGGTGCCCCTAAGAGCTAACTCACAATGTGTTTGTGAATTAGGATGAGAAAGTTGCATTATTCTATCACTTGAACAGAGAACATATTATCTGCTTTTTGCACTTTAAAATGATGACTGTGGCTTCTCTACAGAGAAAAGACGCTAGGCTACATTCCTAGAAAAAAATAAAAAGGACAATCACTTGTGAAGAAAAATGAAAGAAATGGTCACTATCTGAATATTCTTAACAGTGGAGTCATTATGCTTACTAATACAAGAATAAGAGCAATGGGGGGGAGGGAGGAATCCAGAAGAACTTCTTCACCTCTTCTGAGTAATAGTCTAGAAATTCTCCACTTGCTTTATCATTATCTTTTTCCATATTTCCAGAAAAATGTATAATGCATTTGCTTACAGTGTGGTACATTTGTACTTGGCCCTCCGTTCTTTCTCAAAATGATAAGAAAACTTTCACTTAGGCCATTAGTTGTTGAAAGTGCAAAGATATGTGCAAATCCTGAGCTGAGCCTCTCAGTCACATCCACCCCAGCTTCAGCTTCTTAACAGAGGTCTCAGGAATTCCAGGATAAGAGATCAGGGTTGGGCAGATGACTGTCAGCATCAGTGAGAATGTGGCACATTCCACAAGAGGGGTAGGAAGATGGGGGCCCATTAAAGTTCTCTGCTCTCCAGGGGAAGGTAGCCTCTAGCACCGGACAGTTTCACAAAGTGAATGGGGGCTCTCGAAAGACCACAGATCAGCTCGTTCTGCAGCCGGCATCAGTTCCCTTGGCTTCCTGCGTATGCTTCAGAAACACTCAGAAAAATATGAATCTCTCTAAATTGGCTAGCAAGAAAGAAATAACCTACTGATTGCAAAGTAGATTGAGCCCAGAGGTATTCTCCGGCAAAGCTTTAAAACTGCCACTGAAAACAAGATTATATTTTATTTCAATTACACTGGAATGAGTTTCTGCTATATTTATATATTGAAAATATACAGAACAGTTAAATTCAGTGAGTGGCAACATTTTTATACAATCTAAAGCTCTCTTTGGGGGATGCTGGGTAGGCAGGGATAAGACAGAGAGAGAGAGAGAAACAGAGAGAGAGAGAGGCTAGTAGGAGGGAAGGGAGAAAGAAAGGCTGAACCAAGCTATAAATGTGTTTATTTGATTAGGGTTATTATTGAGGTCAAAAAAATAGCAATCATATCAGTGTTTTCTAGACTTTAATCTTTTATTTTGTATGTTGGTGGTACTGGGGTTAGAACTCATGGCCTAATGCTTACTAAGCAGTTGGTACTCTAGCTCTTAAGCCACAGTCTAGGCCCTTTTCGGTTTTCATTATGTAGTGAATAAAGTCTTACACTGATCC